TAAACATTTAAAAAAAAGGTAATGGTGTGGATCCGGTGGCTGACCTTGAAACGAGTTTTTGCTGCATATAGTCACAGACACTACGCATGCGCACATCTTCGATGTTGCCAGATTGTGAGTTATTTTGGAATTATTTTCAGTAGAAAACAAACATGTGCTTTTCAGTGTTTTTTTGTCAATATATACCACGTATGATCGAAAAAAAACGGCGTCTAGTTGTCTGGGAAATGACGATTGAGGACATTTCGATAAAATGACAGCGATCTTCATTTCATAGTCATTGCTGACGCTATTTTTTTTTTCAATCATACGCGGTATATTATTTTTAATATTTCTGCACAACACGTGAACGCTTATGTAAACGCTTATTATGTATTTTCAGTCAATAAAATTATATAGAAATAAAACTCTAGATTCCTATCTAGATTATTATGCTACGTTTAAAAAGTGCTTTATTAAAAATTCGGGAAATTAAAAGGGATGTGTCCAAATTTTTTCTTTTTTTTTAATTTTTAAATGCTGTAGCTCCATGTCATGTTCATAATAGATTTTTTTTAACATTCCATCAAAACTACGGAGGCCTTAAAAGGCCTTTTAGCCTCCGTAATTAAAATTGTAGAATCAGCTTCAGCAACATTAACAGTTACCTTGTTTAATTCTGCTTATACATATATTGCATTAATTTTTCTGTTGCATTAAGATTTCTCTATTCTTACACCTAATTTATGTGATTTTCTTAGCATATATGATTTATAAACTATATTTTTCCTAATGGAAGGATGAATAGGATATGCAAAATTAAGATATTTTAACATTATTTAAACAACTTAAATTCCAGACCAAGCATAATATAGTATTAAGATGAAGACATAACAAATATTATAAGAAAGATCTTAATATAAATCACAAACTAAGTCTTAATTTAGTCTTGTATTTCTATTATTATTATATTATTCTTATAAAACTAATAAGATCAAAACTCAACCTTCACCATATTGTCAAGATTTGGCATTATAGGAAACAAGAAATTACAGTAAATTAAGAAAAGAATAACAAAGTATACGATATTAAATACTGTAATGTATTTTACGATACAAGCCATCTCCCTTCTAAAGAGAAAAAGATAAAACATAAAGCTTATTTTAGTCTTATCAACACACTCTTCGATAAAATCCACTAACTTGATATCTATGCTTGATATTTTTAAGAAATTATGATACAAACATTAATTATAATCAAAGTATATTATATTAGTAACATTATATAATAGGTAAAATGTTACCTCTATCTCCGATTGACGTTTATTGTTCTATAATAAGACCCGTCATGGTAGTACTTCAAAACATCAATACATGCATATAATCAAAAATATTGTTGCCTGTAAATAACTAGAAATTAAATAACTTGAAAGAAATAAAATAATTCTAATAAGTTTAAAACCATTAAGAAAAAATCCGTAAATGATAAATTTTAATTCTAATGTAAACATTACAGTTGAGGGTTGGAACCTTTGGTGTTAAACAGCAAAATAAAAACACTAAATCACCACAATACAACAAAACACTTTTACTTTTACACTGGACGCGCGTTTCGCTAACCATGTTAGCATCATCAGCAGATGATTATAAACTAATATAACAGTTTATAATCATCTGCTGATGATGCTAACATGGTTAGCGAAACGCGCGTCCAGTGTAAAAGTAAAAGTGTTTTGGTGTATTGTGGTGATTTAGTGTTTTTATTTTGCTAATGTAAACATATAAATAAATGATATTATTATTGCAATTTTATATATTATAATACTTTCATTTTTCACAATCTTCATTATCCTTCATACCTTAATTTTGGATATCAAGATAAATCTGAAATTATAGAATTTGTATTATTATTGATTAACACGCAAAAAAAAAAATTTCAACTGCAAATAATTCGAAAATAAACTGCAATTTGGCAACATCGACGATGTGCGCTTGCGTAGTATCGATGATCAAAAGCAGCAAATATGGGCTTCAAGGTCAGCCACCGGATCCACACCTTTACCAAAAAAAATTAACGTATCAGTTAAAAGTTAAGTTAATTCAGATTTCCTAACCTAACCTAACACCGAAAAAATGGCTCCAAATGGCCGAAAAATCAGTTTTTCGCAAATATCGGCCAAAATATGCAATTTACAAAAATTTTCTTCAAATAAAAAATGAAACTTCGGTAATTATCTACAAAAATTATCATCACTTTTACATAGAAATAGTAGGTTTTGAGATATTCCGCGTCGAAGATCTCTGAATTTTCTCTCAAAGTCTTAAGGGGCCCACAGACGATACAATCGGTTGTACAACTGATCGTACGATAGGTTGGACTAAAAATCGTTCAGACAGACCATAGATACTTTTAGCCACAAACGTAACGACATTCTAAAGCCACTTGTAGTGCGATTAGTTAAATGTTTTAAATGAATTAGTTCAGTGACTCAGTGTATGTTTGACTATGCCACAAACCATGTCAAAGAAAAACTAATGTTCGAAGTTCTAATGTTGCATCTGGATTTATTTCTTTCATTTTTCTCAGCAACACTTCGTAGCTGGAGTTCCGTTTGTGTTTATTGGAATATTCCTCACTTTTAACATTCCATAAGCACGAATGGTCTCTATAAATTTCAATAAACTCTGTCCAAAACTGCCTATTTCCCTCCATGATGAAACACCACAATCTCACTACACGATGTATTTATGTATTAACATAGTAGCAACAAGTCGGTGAAAAAGCCACAGTCGTTCAAACTTGTCGTTGATCCAACCAAGTTGTACGACAGATTTTTAAGCATGCTGAACTACCAAACGATCCAACCGCGTCTTAACGACAAGTTGGACGACAAGCCTACAGACGTTACGATTATCGTTCACACAGTTGGATCAAACCAAATCGTCCAACTTGTTGTACAACAGATTGGATCGTCTGTGGGCCGTTTTAACGTTCCGATGATAGACTTCATAAGCACATTATTGATTGATAGGACAAATTGTTTAATAACTCGGCTAAAATTTAATATTTTTTGATGATCCGAAGCATATTTAAAAGGTAGAATCAATAGCTATAACATTTTGGAACTTGTTTGAATTTTGCCATATTTTATGATAATAAAAAAACTGGGCAAACATTCCCTGATCCAAAAATTTTCAGATTTTTACAAACTTATTCATATTTTATTCTACCTTTTAAATGAACTTTGAATCATCTAAAAATATTATATTTTAGCCGAGTTATGAAACGATTTGTCGTATCAATCAATAATAAGCTTATGAAATCTATCTACACAGTGTTAAGACTTGGAGAGAAAATTGGGGGATCTTCGAGACGGAATATCTCGAAAATTACTAATTCTACGTAAAAAATGATAAGAACCATTTTTGTAGGTAATTACCCAAGTTTCATTTTTTGTTCCAAGAAAAATTTTGTAAATTGCATATTTTGGCAGATATTTGCGAAAAACTGACTTTTCGGTAATTTTGGGTCTTCTCGTGTCCTTATTTACTGGACTAATAAGTTTAAAATAAATATATTCCACCTATGTAATGATAGGTATATTGTAAAATAATATGTGCAATACAGCAACTGCATTAATTATTTAGTTATATGTTACATCACATTTAGTAAAATACCCAACAATATTAATTGATCAACACTTTATCAGCTGCAACTATTCATAAATATTAATGAATCTCTTTTCTTTTACATATATTTTTTTTCAATAAAACGCCGCCCATGTTTTCTTATTCATTTACGGATCCTTTGTAGTATTGTTTAGATTTTAGAGAAACAAATCCCATTCTTTACTTGTTTAGAAAGAATTGTTTGATTATTTTTACTATTGTTTTGACGCGTGCTCCTAGACAACTAGCTCACGATTTCCTATGTTAATCCAGTCTATATTTCGATAACATATCACGTCCAAATAAAAGAAACGATTATAAAGTAGTTGCGGCATTGTTGCGGCTTGTGGGCCGTTCAATTTCTTTTCTGTTAGTTAACTTCGTTGACACCACTCAAAACTCAATGAACAAATTTTATTCACTTAAGTGCCAGGGTCACTAGACTTTTAACCCGTCGATTTCTTTCAGCTCTTGATTGTGTTAATTCGTTAAAATCAGCTATTATACTTTCAAAGTTCAAAATAGTCGGTACAGAATCACGAATTGTTATTTGTTTAAATAAGATATGAGAATGTATCAAGAATGTTAATTATTTCGCTGATAATTTAGCTAGAAATTATGTAAACATAGTAAATATATAGAGAATTATTGAAACACTAAACAAGCCAAGAATTACATACAAAATTTAATAAGTTTATGCAATTCTTTGTAGGATTTTTATGTGTAAAAATATAACATTCTAATTATTCTAACCTCAAAATAGCAACAGCTATTCAGCTCTTTTTTTGTTATTCAATCTAATAAAAACATGGTACTTACATGAACTCAAACTGGAAGACTGGCCCATTCTAATTAATTCTGTAGGTAAAGAATCACATCACAAAATAAATTATTTATCACTAATTGTATTGCACTTGTTAACTAAAAGTTACGTCTACACGTTACATTAGTTCACGTTTGAAAATATTTTTCAATTCGTAAGCTGATGAATTATATCATGATTCATGCTACACACTTTGTTAATGTTTTTTGCACCGAAAATTATGAATATTTCCGAAAAAATATAACAAAAAAATTAGAGTCGTTTCAAGAAAAGCAACAATCGTGAAATTAGTTACAGATATTGGACAATGAAATGAAAATTGAAGGTGTGTATTAGGCAACCAAATATTTTCCTTTAAAATCATAATAAAAACTTAAAAAATACTAAATACTTCTACATTTTATCATTTGTAATATACGTACTAAAGTATTAAGGGTAATCTAATTAAGGTTCTATCATTAGCTGTATATTATCTTCTCCAAGTACTTTCTAAAAACTAGACTTCGAAAATGAAATATGTAGCTAACTTCTGGGTTGTTTATGTTTAGGGTTAAAGGGAAATGTGATAGAGGAAAGTTTACCCCATAGATAAATGCAACAAGTTTAGATTGGAAAGCCCGTAAACATTTCGTGTCGCATAAATTGTGGCGAAAGAATAAGTAGTCTCTATAAAAAATATAGCGCAACTGTACTAAAATTAACGGCAAACAAAAACAGAAATAATTTTCTCTTGTCAAAGTCAGAATCTTCAAAAATCATAATAATCTTTCAAAATCTAAACCGCTCTCATTAAAGAAATTGTTTGAAAGTGTTCATAGCGTCCATTTTCAAAGTAATTATTGCTATCTTGTGAGTTTAATTCAAGTTTTATTTACTCCAACCGGTGTTAATTGTGAAAAAGTGGCATTAAAAACATAAAACGCTGTGCTGTGAACTGTGAACTGCAAAAACCATCGTGGATCGTGGCATAACGTCGGTTTCCAATGTTTCATAGGTATTTCATACATGCGTCCTTATATAAAAATAAAAGTTTCTTGTATGCAACACACTGTATTTTATTTATAAAATTAAACGAAAATAATAATAAATTTGAATAAACAATATTTGGCGATATAATTCCGGAAAAAGCCGAACCGCTCCGAAATTTTCAAAAGTTTTGGGTCGCGACCGTTGCAAAAATAGCGCCAAATAGTGTTTACATTGTCCTTATGGGCACTTTCCAATCTAAACTTGTTTCATTTATCTATGGTTTACCCAAAAAGTTTTTTGGATTAATTATAAATGGAGGACCAACCCCAATACTTTTGTATAAATTGTGGCGAAAGAATAAGTAGTCTCTATAAAAAATATAGCGCAACTGTACTAAAATTAACAGAATGTGTAAGATTCTATTTTCCCTTTTTTATCTATTCATTATTTAAAACTTTTTTTAGGAATACTGTAAAAAAATAGCTGATAAATATGTCGAATACGATATTACTAATGTTGTAATAGGCCTTATTTTATTAGACAATACAGCTTATAGACATATTCTACTTAATACAGATTTTAAGGTTTGTAGTTTATAACAAAACTTGCTAGATTTTATTTTCTTGAATATTTCAGCATTATTGGAAATTATCACTAATTCTAATTTTACTGGAGGCTTATTCCAACATGACATTACTAAACAACTCAAATGTGGTTCAGTGCGATAGCCAAAATCAAACTGAACCAAGTCTAAAAGACTTTGATGTGAATGTTGAAGATCTAAAATTCTACATTCTTACAATAAATATTGGCATTAGTAAGCTGAACCATAATAAACTATATATAAACTAACAGTATACATTTTCTTTTTAGGTTTCTTATGTTTTGTAGCCACAACATATTTGTTGACAAGGATATATTATAGCTATTTAAATAATAATAGGAAAAAGGCACCATCTTTTATTTTAATATTAAAGACAATAACTCTAGCTTCATCAAGTATATTTTTACAGCTTCCATCTGTGATTTGGGATTTATCAGTTTATAGTTATCATCTTCATTTTATATCCTTGTATATAACTCTAAGTCAATTACTGGCGTACAAAGGTAATATTCAACATATTTATTAATAATAGGTACATATTGGATATTTTTCAGTTATTTCTTCATGTCCAAAGATATGGTGTTTACTCACGATATTTTCATCTGTGTTTATCAAAAGTTTTATTAATCAGTATTTAAATAGAGTTATTAGTTTTGGTATCGTCTAAATGGGAAGATTTTTTTTTAATATAAATACATATTACTTTGCACATGTTCTTTATTATTCGAAATCAGTGTTTTCCTTAATATACTTAGCAAGATCATTTTCACTTAAATACAGTTGTTGGTCCTTATGAAGATCATTTAATTCGTATAATGGTATTGCATCTCCACACTTTTTATTTAATACTATTATATATCTATAACCAGTGCGCTTTGCATCTATAAAACGACGACCTATTGTATATGATGTTCTGTCATCAAGTAAAACATTATTTTTTAAACAAGGAAATGCAGACTCTAAGTTATGATAAAGTTTTTCTCCTAGATTTCCTATCAGACTCTCCTCTTTGCTGCCTAACTGAAAAATTATTAAAATAAATATCTAAATGCTGAGAAAATAGTGTTTACTTCCAAAATTATTTGAAATTAAGTTCATACTTACTTTTGGTGGTAATATGATAACGTTGTAAGGTGCTATACTATCTGGCCATCTTAATTCTTTTTCTAAGCTTAAACATTCTAACGAAGCTGCTATAATTCGACTTATTCCTATTCCATAACTTCCCATTTGCAAGGTATGTTTTTTTGTATTTTTATCAATACAGTTTGCTTCCAAGGGCTTGGAGTACTTTTCCCCTAACATAAACGTATGTGCAACTTCTATGCCTGTCTCATATGTTAAACTATTTTCACTTTTACATTTTGGACAACCTGTATCTGTTAATACTTCCTGATTTCCAATAAAGTCGCATTTGCTACATTTCACAATTTTATCTTCACCTTTATCAGTTAAAAAGTGATATTCGTGTGACAGATTTCCACCCATTGTTCCAGAATGACCCAAAACTTTAATAAATTTTACTCCTACCTTTTTAAATATCTTATTGTAACTGCTGCATACTTTTTGATATGTCTCTAAAGCTGTGTCCTGTGTTAGATCAAAACTGTACATGTCTTTCATGATAAACTCTCTACTTCTTATTAGTCCGAATCTAGGCTTCATTTCGTCTCGAAATTTTGAAGTTATTTGGTATAATAGTAATGGAAGAGTTTTGTATGATATTGGGGCAATGCTAGAGAGAAGATGACTAGCTGTTTCCTCATGGGTCTAGAAGATTTATGTGATTCAGTTAACACATGTTTACGATATGTAAATATGTATTTACCTACAGGAGCTAAAATATACTTATGGTCACGTCGGTCTTGTAATGTTAACAATTCAGGACCCATTTCACTTGCTCGACCTTTAAAATATGGTTTTAAATTTTACAATTTAATTTATATGGCACAAATCAAACTCACCACTTTTTTCCCATAAATCTGATTTAACTAAAGTAGGAAAAATCATCTTTTGACCTCCAATATTCTGCAGTTCTTCATCAACAATATTAATAAGCTTATTAAGTGATTTTAATCCTAAAGGTAAAAAATGAAAACACCCAGTATTAGCTTGTTGTAATATTCCTAATTCTAACATCAACTAAAACAATATAAAATTTAATATAATATAGAATAAACCTCTTCACTTTTATTACCCTTTGACTCTTCGAAGTTACACCTTTATGAGTTAAATTGGACGCTTTAGCAGTTACAGTTATAGGCTGGAATATACCAGATAGTCTGTTTATTACACCCATTTTAAATTTTATAAGCTAAAATTTATCCTTTAGAAAATTTAAACTTCTTATCATTTTATTTAAACACGATTTTTAAAAATTAGTTAAAATGATAGGTTATGAAATTTGTATATCATTGTGAAGTTAGCTCCATAAGCTAGCTCCGGAAGTTAGCAATATACTACAGATTAGAAGATTTCAATGAAGTTTTTGTTTTGCTGTATAGCGACACCTTCTGGTTAAAGTGACGTACCTAGTTGGTAGAGCTCAAATTAAAGAACCCTGTAATATCAATATCCATATTATTGCCGCAAAATTTAAAAACCCTTTACAATAATTATTATTTTTTAATCCCTTTATTATTTTTCGAAATAATTTATTTATAGGTAGGAAAGTAGGTTTTCTATTATTGAAAAAAAACAAGACCGTTAATGTAATTTAAGAGCGTTATATTTATTTATTACGATATAACAAAAATTAAATAGTTAATATAAGATGCCTTAGAAAACTAAATCCTTGACTAAATAATAACAAGTAAGTAAACGTATAGTTTTGTATAGAAGTAAAATATTTATTTCTAATTTGCTTCCTGTTGCAGTTTTTCTAACAAATTGAAAATACAATTAATTAGCAAATTGGATTATAGTAGAGTATAGAGCGGCCTTACGCATTCTATTATGTTTTTATAAATTAATATACCCCAATCAAAAACAATTACTTCATTTAATACCTCCTTTTCTACGCTTTAAATTTTTCTTTAATATTTTTCGTCTTTTGTGCATTTCTTAACTGTCAGTGACTGTCAACAACAGTGCAAAAAAAGAGTAGGCTGCCTTAATTACCTGAAAATTAAGTAAATATACTTTAGTTGTATTACGATATACAACTAGTACAATAGTTGTAGTACAACTAGAAGTAAAAAAAACGGCGTCAGCGATGGCTATGAAAAAATTTCTATGGGAAATGTTATCCATCGTCATTTTCCAGCTAACTGGACACCGTTTTTTTTTCTATCGTACCGGTATATTGAGTAATAATAAAAAATAAGCTTATGAGAGTAGAGACTATTATTCAAGAGTTCAAAAGGAGGTGGACCCTGAAGCCACTAGGGATACAGTACCTAACAAAAAAAAAACAAGAACTAAGAACTGCTTACAGCAAAAGCACTAAAATATGTAACACTTATAGTAACTTTGACTAAAAGCACTCGGAAAAAAAATATAATAAATCGAAAAAACTGAAGACTTCAAAAATAAATCTTATTTTTAAGAGAATACAAAAAATGAAAATTATTTTGAATATAATATATTATCCTTGTTTATATATTCTTATATTATAAAGTATTCCAGTTAAAAATACACAACCTTAGTTTGAATATATGTTTGAGTCATCCTGTATGTTGACAAAAATATTTTCAAAATATGCGTTACCATTGCCCTCACATTAGGTAAAGAAAATTTAAAATCACAAACCAAAATTCTGATTTAGAGCGTTTTTCAGAAGCCTAGGTTACCCTGTTCAAAATTGCCTTTATCTATATTTTCAAAATTTAACCAACACTTAACTTAAGCAAAACTTAAACTAGTCAGAACATACTCTGGAACATATGCAACATTTATAAGTTTATTTTGTTTATTGCTAAGGCCACTGTTAGGCCACATAAATAAGTACCGTATGATCGAAAAAAAAACGGCGCCCAGTTGGCTGGGAAATGAACATCAATGACATTTCCCATATAAATTTACATATGAAATGACAGCGATCTTCATTCCATAGCCATCGCTGACGCCGTTTTTTCTCGATCACACGGTATTTCAGAGCTTTAATGATTAACTGTAAAACATCAATTTCCGAATTAATGTTAATGATTTATACTGAATAAGTATAAACAGATATTTAAAAATTATAGAGCAAGTTGTACAGTAGTATGGAATAAGTTTTTTTTTTTTTTTTTTTTTTTGGAGGTGTAAAATACCTTTACGTACGGAGTGTGGGACTCAATCTCTCCTTAAGCTGCCTGGAGGACACTACCCACTAAACGTCACCCCCTCGCTCCTGCCACGTCTACCTGGACCCGCTGGACGCATCTCCTCAAGTAGACGCCGGACTGTTCCTTTTTTTGTCATTACCCCTGCTCTTCGCTGTATTTTGCCTCTAGTATATTTTGGGCCAGTTTTGAGATGGCTTCAAAGTTTTCTCTTCTTTCTGTTACCGATTTTAAGAAGGTATCTGCGGAGATGTTGCCACCAATCGTCATGCGTGCCCCACATCTTTCCTGTTCCCATCTTGGACAAGCAAACATTGTGTGTTCTGGAGTATCATTGGGTTCAGCCAAGGGGTTCAGCACAGTATCGGCATTCCGCAACTTCCCTCTTTCCAATTTTACACAGGTAACTCCCAAAATTTCCGTGGCCACTCAATATTTGAGTAAGATAGAAGTTTACCTCTCCATGCTTTCTTTTAATCCACATATTTATATTTTGGATGAGCTTATATGTCCATCTTCCTTTTTGTGATACTTCGCATTCTGCCTGCCACTGCTGCACTGTGCGGTTTCTCTCCATCTCTCTGCTTGCCCTGGTTTGTACTTCACCCTTGAGAAAGAGTCGTTCTCTTTCTCTTGAGAGAAGATGCAAGGGCACCAGACCCGATATCATCAAGGCTGCCTCAGTTGAAGTTGTCCGATACGCCGAGCAGACCCTCAAAGCCATGTCTCTCTGTGCACCTTCAAGTCTTTTTTTATTTACCTGCATATTGGTTGCTTCGTTCCACACAGGTGCTCCATACATAATAATATCCTGGCACGCATATGCTAACACTCTTCTCTTTGCTGGTGTTGGGCCCCAAACGTTTGGCAGTATTGCGGACAACGCTTTAGCAGTTCGTTGTGATTTCAGACACACAACTCCTTGATGTGCAGGCCCATCGTGAGTGCACGGTCTATGTGGAATCCAAGATAGTTGACTTGCTTTACTGGATTTATTATTATATCCTTAAAATTAAGCCTTATATGGTCAACTTTTCTCTTGCGGCTCAGTAAAATCGCCTCTGTTTTTTCCACAGCTATTTCGAGTCTGTGCTCACGCATCCATCTGGCTATGATTTTTAGTGTATCATCGACAGTCTGCATTAGGTCGAGGTCGTTTATTTTTTTTGTTTCTTTTAGTTTTTTTTGTTATTATCACAGCAAGATCATCGGCGTAACAGATCAACTCTGTCCCACCTGGTACAGTAAGCTCCATGACACTGTCGTATAATATGTTCCACAGAGTTGGCCCCAGCACCGAGCCCTGTGGGACGCCACCGAATACCTCTCTTTCATCTTCTCTATTGAGAACTATAAATCTATTATCAAGATAGCTTCTTATTATGTTCACCAAATAGCCACTTATGCCCCATCTTCTAAGTTCTTTAATAATTATTTCGCATGACG